ATCTCTTGATGCCTCCTCTTTGCTAAATTCCCTTTCTACTGTCTTTTTGACCCCTCCTTTCCTGACAAACACATCTGGTCTCCATCTACCTCCAGCACTTTTTCTATTAAATCCTACTTCCTAAAATTAGTTGAGGGCTCCTCTGTCTTCTCTTTCTCTAACAGAATGGTTTGGCATATGATTGTCCCCCATAAAATGTCCTTTTTCATTTTGGAAAGCAGCCTGTGAAGCTAATGTTTATGATAAAATCTTTAGGAAGAGAAAATGGCAGCTTTATATCTCTCCCCACGTTTGTGTGATGTGTACAAAAGACGGGGAATCCATTGGCCATCTTCTCATTAACTGTGAGGCTGCTTGTAGTTTGTGGCAGTTTTTCCTTAACCTCACAAGGAAATGACAGCTTCTCTTGCCTAGGAATGCAAACAGTTTGGATTCGAATCAGGGTACATCCGAACCCTATCCAATAATACAAATCGTAGATCCGATCTGATCCGAAGATCCGATTGGATCTCACAAACATATTCAAATCCAAATCCGTTAAGGATGTTGGATATAAAAAATAACAAAAATGCAATAATATATATATATATATTCAGATCGGATAGGGGTGATCCAAATTTAGTCTGATTTTTAACCGGGTCCTATTATCCGATCTGAAAGTCTGATAAGGGGATATCCAAATCCGACAAAATAGGATCAGATTTCGGATCAGGTCGTATCATGATCCGATCCATTTGCACCCATACTCTTGCCCCCCCCCCCCAACTCAGTGATTAAGTTTGCTAAACAATGACATTGTTGCAAGTTGSGCTATAGGGGTAGTATATACTTGAAGTTGGTCATCCATGATGTCATGTGGTGTGTATCTGGGAGGAACACAATAGAAGAATTTCTGATAACTCTAAAACTTCTCCTGAAGGACTGAAAGGCAAATATTGGCAATGCTCAACTCTTGGATGCTGGCCAGTAAGAGGCATTTCCTTTGATGACTTGAACAAAATTTTATAGCAGATCCTGAGTTCTTCTCCAGATCCTTCAGCCAGGCTGATTACTCCTCCCCCAGTCCCCCTAAACCTCCTGATTTCATTCTTCAGTTTGAAATCCTTCTCAGAGCTAATGGTAACCTGGTTTGAGCCTATAGTAGACCTGCAGAGGCGGTAGATGCAACAGCGGCTGGAATTAGAGCTCTTCTTGTGTGCCTCAGAGTAGCTTCTGCCTTAATTCTTCTTTGGTGGTTGAGCAGGATTCCAAATTGGTAATAAGCTGGATGAGTGACAAGGAGGGAGGCGCATGGAGATTCAACTTCTTGATGAAATAAGGGATCTTGCAGCTGTGTTTGACTGTGCTTTTAGATGGATTCCTAGATAACTTAATTGTATGGCTGATGGTCTTGCCAAATCTGGAGTGGATAGGGATTTTCTGTATGGCAGAAATATTTTACCTACGTAAATGGTGGGAGGCTTTTTTGGTGTTTTTGTTTTTTTCTTTGTGTTGATTAGCCTGTATCCTCCCCTTCTTTTCTGCTGAGCATTAATGAAAGTTACCTTTTCTCAAAAAATTAAAAAAAAAATGCTATTAGCTTTGTCATTGAGACCCCCTATGTAATTCGTAATACTTTATTATCCCATGCTGACACTCCCTATTAGCTTCTTTTTTCAAGCCAAAAGAACAAATGTGCTTTTTTGCAACGAACAGTGATTTTGTTTGCTCTTCTAACTTCTCTATGACACCCCCCAAGAAGTCTCCAAATTCTTACCATTTTTGTAACATCCAGAAGGATATTTCAGCATCTCACTCAATTCTGGTTGTTTGTTCATCTCCCTCTCCCCATTTTGTTCTCAACCATATCAGGCCATTGATGTGAGCTGGCCACCACCACTGGCACAACTTCCTCTACATTCATGCCCCTTGATCTCCCAGTGTGGATGATTAAGTTTTCATGCACCTGTACAAAAATTGTCATGCTTTCTTCCAAAATTGTAATAATTGTCTTCTCCTTACCTGTTGTTAAGGATGTGATTTAATGATATGGTATTATGGATGTTGAAATAAACCATCTTCACCAGTTGACAGGATAACCACTTTGCATTTCCCTATTGGTGGTTGAAGTTGAATACGACAGTGGGTTGGGTTCCCAAATATAAATAGCTCTGTCCCTTGTCTGGATACCTGCCTAATCATTCTTATTTTGAGTCATTTTTTTGTGCCAAGGCTTTGAAGTGGTGCTTTGGCAGAATTTAGGTTTGTAGCACATTCTTTCTTTAACATTAATAAAACTTTGTTAAGTTGCTTATCAAAAAAAAAGTTTTTTTTGTCAATTATATCAATATAAGGTTTTCAATTCACATGTCCAAATAATTTGTTTTAGTATGAGTGTTTTTCTCTTTAAATCCATAATTTATTCAAGTTTGTACTTCCATATGACTTTTCTTCTTATTTTTATGAAATATTTTAATGATACATAATTTCGTAAAATCCAATGGATGTTTTAATATTTTAAACCCTTATGAAATGATAAATAACATAATATCATAAGAAGCAAAGTAATAAGTAAATCACAACTTGTATTAAATTAACAAAATAAAATAAGAGCTATAACTATCAAGAATGGAAATAATTTTTAAACCTTAAAATTATTCTAAGTAGAGGAAGAGGCCAACTTGAAATGGTCTTATCATTTTAAAAGCGTTGTTTTTAGCACTTTATAATATATATTTATTCAAAAGAACATGCCCTTATATAATTTCAAAAAAATATTAAAAAACTTTTTCATAGATTAATATTTGCAACCCCAAATTTACAGAAAATTGATTACCAAAAATAAATTTACAAGAAATTTTCAATATTTCCAACATATTTCTTACACTCAAGTGGTTGACATTACCACAACATTTTAAACTTTGATCTATGTATCATGATAAAGTGACCATACCACTACTTTTAAATAAGATTTTGACCATAGTGGTATAAGCAACTATCAGGCTTAAATCCTCCTCTCTCCATTTCCAAATTCCAATAGACCTGTCTTCTCTCCTAGGCATCATATTCTCCCATATGCATCAATTAAGCAATTGAAAAATGGCATACCTGAGACAATATTTGTGATCCCAATGAACCTTAAGACACCAGTACAGAAATTGCTTGCCAGTAATCCCTAAGAAGGGAAGAGTCCATGTGACAATTAGATTTGATCATTTCTAATCTCATATTCTCATCAGACTGAACAGGTACTCCATCTTTCAAATGACCAACCAATTCAAAAGCATCTATTACCACATTTTAGGTCATGACGGCCTGCAAATAAAACTGAAGAAACAAAGAAAAAAAACTATAACTTTATAACTTACTCCTCATCAGATAGCAATCTAGGTAATGATAACTTCCAATACCAAACCTTCATTTCTATCTGCCCACTAGCTACTGTTACTCCCCTAATGCTAGTACCCACATGAAATGATGCCTAGATAAGTTAGCCAATGTGTGGTAGATATCATCATCTGATGGAGATAACAAAAATAAGCAATAGCTTACCAAAAGAAAATATACATTATATGTAAATAATAGGCAATTGCACAATTTTGGTCCCTGTTGGGAGGAGGGGACTGGATATGGACCAAACCTATGGCCCTTTTTTGACACAAAGTGACTGCTTTCAGGCTGGAATACACATTCTAATACTTGGCAACCTAGATTTTCTCATCGCGCCAAGCACTGCCTTAGATATAAGAGTGTCCTCGCTCTGTTTTCAACTCCTTTTGTTTCATTTTCTTTCCATTTGAAGGAGAGACCAGAGAGATTATGATATGCACACGAAAGTCATCCAGCTCATCAAATAAGAACCCTTGGAAACCTATAATGATCAGTATCTTTCCTCTCCCCTTGAACTAACCAAACCTGTAGGAACTAAAAAGCCATATCAGGCCACCATAAGTTGCATTATTTCAATGTTAGCTCAATAAGTGTGATCGATACATCTCTTGTTTCATACCACCATGTTGGGAGTGTAACTTCAATCCAAAAACCAAAAGACAGAGAACAAATAAAGAATTGCCATACAATGATACCACTTGAAGCAAGAAGTGGAAAGAGTTAATTGTTAATGACAATAAGCTATGTCTAGTCCCAAGAATATAAGAATTATGAATGCTTATGAGTAAAACTTTAGTGAACAAGCCATACACTCATTTGTATCTTACTACTCATGGCATGTTTGAAGTATAGTAGTGGGATGGCTGAAAGAAAGAGGGTAAGGAAGATGGAAGCATAGATACACCATGAGAGGGGGGGGGGTGAAAGTCATTTCAAGGGAGCTGGAGTCTTCTTTCAGATGAATAGATAAGCAAGCCCATTGGCTGATTTTTTGGCAAAACAAGGGGTGAACAGGGATCAATTTTTCTGAGTTTAGTTGTAAATAAAAATGGGTTGATGGAAGAAGGGCAGCTTTTTATGGGTTATATACACTTTATATGTATACTTAATATTTTATTATCTCAATAACAGTTAATTTTATTCATAAAAAGAAAATGTCTATTTTCTTGTGAGTTGTGAACCTGTTAAAGCAACAGTTGACCTCACCATCTCTCAATTGATAAAGTGTACAAGATCCAGGCTTACAAACGTGATTGGAAGATCCACTACCAAGTGAGAGGTCCATATTCTAACACCAAAGAGTGATAAATTGCTGAAATGCAGTATGGAAGTTTTAAGAGTAGAACACATATCCTCCTCCCCTTTGTATACCAGAAAGTTTGGCTGAAGTTTCTTTTCTACCCTCCCTTTTGCTCCTGCCACTTTAACTTACCAAAATGATGCATATATTAAAATACAGGTGGAACTTATGGTTGTCAAGCAGAAAATTTGAGAATGTTCCATGGTTGATTTGTTTTTCCTTTTTAATATATTATATGAAAATTTGCTAAACACAGAGTAGAATGATCCACGAAGATACAAAATTTCGACAAGGAATCTATAAATAGAAAGGAAAAAATCCAAAATCCTAATATAAAAACTAAAATTAACAGAAGCTACATGATCTTGATGAGGAGAATCTTAGCCTTCTAAAGATCATCAATGACAGAACAGAAAAAAAAGTAATAAATCTTTACTTCTAGAAGACAATCAAAGACATAATTAAATTAGCAATAAAAATTATCAATCTATAAGGTACTTACCAAAATAAGGAGATGCAATTTTGCCTCCTCTGTCAAATTCATCCACAAAACTTAGTCACAACCATCTTATACAACAAATCAATAGAAGAATGAGAAATCCAAGCCAAAATCCACAGAGCTTCTACTCTTCAGTATTTCTTCTATCCTTTGGCGTGCATGCTTATAGACATCTAATAAAAATAAAAAGGATCTTTTGTCCTCTGCAGCACGTGCTGATGTCTCTCTAGATACTCTTTGTAACTCTCTAAACATCATAGAGAATCGTACATTAGGTTCAAGTTCAATTGTACAACCACGATAATCAGTTACAGCTCCATCCTTTGCATTTCTTGTCCATCTCTTCAAGATGTATTGTGATGGAAGTTGTTTTACCTGTCTTTCTAGAAGAACATACAAGGAATGTGAACAAATGATCCCCGAAAACTCAAATTTCTTACAACTGCACACAACTGTTATGTTTGATGGATCAAATGCAACAACATACTTATGAAGCCCATTGCAATATTTCACTATGTATTCAATTTTTGTTCCAACCTCAAATTTATTTTGAATAACACAATCAAGAGATTCTGAATATTCCTTTTCAAACACCCTATATATTGTTGGAGTATATATAGATGCCGCTTGCCTCAACATTTGTATCGGAAAAGGTAAATGGGGGGTGCTCTGGCTCATTTTGACATCCATTTCCAACTCTTTAAGACGATAGTCTGCCACGACTCTTTCAAAATGATTAAAAATCTGAAATAGATCAAGAGTTGATTTCAAGTATCCCTTCAATGACATATTCATGCTCCCACTCCTTTGTGTACTTACAATATCAGCACAAAAATGATTTCGTCCATATGCCAAGGCCCACTTCTCTTTCACTTCAAATAATTCTTGCAACCAAACATTTTCTTTTAAATCATACTTTATAAGCATATCATTCCATGCTCTAAGAAACTCACCCTCTTCCTCGTACTCATATATACATCTACGAAAGTCTTCTTGAAAAGAAGAAGTGGCAAAAATAATTTGCAAATGGTTAGCCGCATTTTGATATATATGCCATATACAAAAACGATGGCTTGTTTTTGGAAACACATGTTCTATTGCATGTGTTATTGCTGCATCTTTATCAGTAAGAATTGTTATTGGTTGTTTGCCAGACATTGCTCTCAAGAAAGATTGGAAAACCCATTTAAAAGATTCAACAGTCTCATCATATAGTAGTGCAGCTCCAAAAACAACAATTTGTTTATGATTATTAACTCCAACAAAAGTTGCAAACAGTCGCTCTTCATCATTTGTTCTAAAAGAAGTATCAAAAGAAATGACATCACCAAAATAGTTGTAATCAGCCACCATCCTTGCATCTGCCCAGAAGATGTTGGTTATTTGATCCATTGCATCAAGTTGTATCGAGTGAAATGATAATCTGTTCTCTTCTTGCAATTTCTCAAAGTATTTCAATATTGCCCCTGCACCTCCTTTTTCCATTTCCCTCTTCCTCTTTTCTTTCAAATAGTTATCATAATCATCATGGACAACACCAAGATCCCGATGCTCTCTAACCTGTTCACCTTCTTTCTCCATGTCCCTTTTCCTCTTTGCATACAAACAGTTGTTATAAGCAGCATGGCTAGCTCCAAGATTCTGAAGTTCTCTGACTTGTTTATCCATAACTGAAAAACTTGTTTTCGGTAATATCAAGGTTGGTTTTGGTAAAATTAAGGTTGATTTTGGAAGTGTTGATGAACTATTGGAATCAGCCTGAGTTGAATGTGCTAATGCTGTTTTCCCATTCGACTTTAGCAATTGTGATATTCTTGGGTTTAGAACCATATGATTATGAGTTCCTTCAAATTTAGTTACATGGTACTTTCCATTAGCTTGCAAGGCAATAGTTAATTGTGCCTTACAACCAGTTCTTCTATTGTCACGTCGATACTTCACATGGACTCGTCGTTTATCAAAAGCACGATGACCTTCAAAAGAACAAACAAATATTCTATCTTTGTAAACACCAGACTTTAATTTGTGTCCTCCTTGTATTCTGACACTGAAACCCACATTCTTAGCATATTCACCATAGAAATCATATGCATCATTCCATGTCTGAAACATCATTCCTACTTCTGGATCTTTCTGGCCTACTTCTTCTACAGGAGCATTTTGCTGTGAGACATTGCATGAATCTAGTCCACATGCAGATCTACATTCCTTCTCTGTACCCTCTTCAGTTCGACTGTTCAGGTTAATATTTTCTCCACCACTCATTTGAAAAATGCTTCTGTTCCTGGTAAAAAGGAAAAAAATAATCATTCCACTCTTAACTACTATAATTTCAAATATTAAATTTTCAAAACTGAAATAAATATAGAGACATTAACCTGCCATTATCTACAATTGGCCTACAGTAGATATAAATAAAATGATAAAAATACAAATGTGCTTCAATTTTGATGTTAACTACAACATAAACTATAAACAACAAAGCGTTTCAGAAAGAAACCAAGAAACCATAAATTACTAAAAGGAACCTAGGCTGCTAATGTGTTTTTTTCTTATATTGGGTCCTTTATTTTCTGTTTGTCTAGTGTTATCTCCAACCTGTTTTCCATCTCAGGCCTTTTTTTTTTATGAAACAGGCAATGTATTGTATTGTATTGTATTAAAATATGAGAGAAATCAAGAAGCATCAGCCCATGTACAATGAGAGCCTGTACATTGGGAATATACAAAAAGATTCAACGAAAGAAAGATCCAGCTTGCAAAAAAGAGAAAAGTTGGACACCCATGAACGCCCTTTGTACACTTAACCAGGAACAAGCCTACAACCTTGTTTCTAACTGAAGTTACACCAGAATAATTGTTATCTGTGTCTTTCCTTCCAGAGAGCCCACAGGATGGCAGATGGAAAAATCCTCCAAAGCAGTTTGCCCCTAACATTCAATCCCTTGAGGGACCACCCTTGCAGAAGTTGAAGAACTGATTCAGGTAAGCAGGACTGAACACCAAAGCATGACCAAGCCATTTCCCACAGTAGGGAAGAAAAACTGCAATGGATAAAAAAGTCATTGGAGGATTCAGAAGTCTCATTGCACAAGGGGCACAAGATATTAGAAAGAAGCATCCCCCTTTTGAGCAACAAGGCATTTACCAAGCACCGCAGTCCAAACCAGGAAGGCAACCTTGGTGGGACATGGGAATTCCAGATCAAAGTCCAAGGGAAATCATTGTCCCCACAAGACACCAAATCGTTGTAGGACTGAGGAAAACTTGCCTGAGGAGCTCCAAGAATAGACTCTTTCATCTTCAGTCCGATGATTAGGTAGGATGCTTTGAACAAGGCTTAACAACTCAGTCAATGGGCTGATTTCCCAATCATTGAGGTTTCTTCAAAAAGTGGGGCCCCAAATGACCTCCTCATTCAGAGTCAAAGCAGTCTTCAAGCATAACATCCTTATCAAGTGCAATATCAAAAAGAGAAGGGAATCTCTCCTGTAAAGCCAGGTTTCGACACCACCTATCATGCCAAATTTTGAGGCAATTACCTTTACCAACCTTGCACCTGATACCCTTCAAGAAAACAGGGAGAATAGAGGCTATATTGCTCCACAGAGCACACCCCTTTGGGGATAGACCAGGGCTTAAATCCCAACCAAGGTTTGTGAGCCCATATTTGACTTCAATAATCCTTCTCCATAGGCTATATCTCTCTTTGTTTGTTGAGAATGGTTAGGCAGGGGTGTTTTTGGTCTTTTCCTCCTTTCTTATATTCTCTCAATATTTGGGCACCCAGATAGGGGCCTTCTTGTAATTATTATTTTTCAAATTATAAAATAAACTTTTGAGGGTGTGAACAGTGAACAACACACACCTCTCGACCAAGGTTCAAAGTATCGATACGATACGTGTTTCGGCAATATCGTATCGGTACTTAGAAACGCCCAAAAACTCTATTTTTTTTTTAGTTTTTTTTTCAAAGTTTGGTTTTTTGGGAAGCTAAAAACATGTTTTTTTAATTAAAAAAAGTTGGGGTTCCGAAACGCTTGGAAGCAGGCATTTCAGATCATATCRTTTTCATAAGATACGAGCGTATCCTATCGATACTTTAAACCATGCTCTCGACACATTGCTCTCTTCTTCCTCTCCTTCTTCTCTTCTCTTCTTTCTTTCTTTCTCTTGAAACCCTAGTTTTTACAACTTGGTATCAGAGCGGGTATAAGCATCTAGGAGTTGGTTCTCTGCTGATCTCCTACCCAGAGGCGAACTGCTGACGTCAGACCGCCACCGGATGCCGTCAATAGTCCATACAGGTATCGGCGGCAGTCTATGAAACCAACACAATTTGATTCGTCCTGATTTWAAAAAAAAAATTGGTATGATTCTTGTCATTATATGAAGCTTCTATGATTTTTGGTGGATTTTTCAAGGAAAAAATCGCAGAAATTCCATATCTGATGTCGAGCCATGTTTAGCAGGTTTAATGATTTTTTTTTCTGCTGTAAAACCTAGACCATTCAGGTTGTTTTTAAATTTGGGATTGACGAGAAGTGGTCCCATAATTTTCTAAGCATTGTGTGATTTTTGGGAGATTTTTTCTCCCTCTATTTTGCCGCCAACCTAGTTTTTTGGGTCTTCCTTTGGTTTTTAACCGTGTGGTAACCTAGTTTTTGGGTCTAGAACCTCGGTTAAAGTGTTGGGGGTCATTTTTGGTTGGTGAAAAGGTGTCTTGTTAGAATATGGAATCATCTAAGGATTTTCAGATGGTTCCCGRCGTACTCCCACGAACTGCAGATATTTCCAGTGGTATGATAACTACTGTTAAACTGGATAGAACTAATTTTTTAGAGTGGTCTCAGTTTGCTAAACTTACCATTACTAGGAGGGGTAAACTGGGATTCATCACAAGAAGGGAAGTGAAGCCGAGTCCTAAAGACCCAAAATTTGCAAGGTGGGAACAAAACAACTCCCTTGTTATGTCATGGCTGATTTGCTCAATGCAGCCTCATATTGCCCGAAATTACATGTTTCTTCCATCTGCCAAGGATATCTGGGATAGGGTAGTTTCTACTTATCCCCAAGTTAACAATACTGCTAGAGTGTATAAGCTTCGGAGGGAAGCTTGCAGTATGCATCAGGGGGAGAGATCTGTTGCTATGTATTTCTCTTCTCTACAATCTATTTGGGAAGAAATGGATCACTTGAAAACTCTAGTTTGGAAGGACCCTGAAGATGGTGAGCAGTATCAAAAGTACATAGAGGAGAATAGAGTCTCTGATTTTTTGGCTGGCTTAAACCCAGAGATTGATTTCACCAAGCAACACATTCTTAGTGCAGGCGTTGTCTCTCTTGCTACTACTTACTCTCTTGTACAAGGGGAAGAAAGCCGAAGAACCTCCATGATGCAATCCTCTATGAATGATCATTTTGCCTTTATGTCATCTTGACCCAAGCAAAATACTAGCAAACATCCCATTGCAGAGAAGGTCGAGGATGTTATTTGTGAGTACTGCAAGAAGCCAAGACACACTAAAAAAGGTGCTAGAAGCTCAATCCTCTATTTCTTCTCCTCCTCCTCTTGTGTATCGACCTCAATCCTGGCAACAGTTTTTCATCAGGCGCAGAATGCCCATCACAATCTGATTCCCTAGACTTAGGTAATCTTGAACCGCCTGACAATCATATTATTGATTCTGACCTTGATCTTCCTATTGCCATTCGAAAAGGGAAGAGGACATGTAGCAAGTATCCTATCACTAACTATGTGTCTTATGATGCTCTCTCACCTTCCTATTGTGCCTATATTTCAGTTATCTCTTCTGTTTCCATCCCTCGTAGTGTTACAAAGGCAATGCAGTGCCCCCACTGGAAGGAAGCTATGAAACAAGAAATTGAGGCCCTAATAAAGAACCAGACTTGGGAGGTTATTCCTTGCCCTAAAGATAAGATTCTTGTTGGGTGTAAGTGGGTTTATACTATTAAGCACAAGGCAGATGGTTCAATTGAAAGATACAAAGCTTGGCTTGTAGCCAAAGGATACACTCAAACTTATGGCATTGGTTATCTGGAAATCTTTGCTCTAATTGCTAAAATGAACTCTATTCGTGTTATCATGTCTCTTGCCGCCCATTAATCGTGGCATTTATATCAAATGGATGTAAAGAACGCCTTCCTTAATGGGGACTTACAAGAGAAAGTATATATGGACTTACCACCTGGGGTAAGTTTTCCTAACAATGATGGAAAAGTGTGCCGCTTAAAGAAGTCTTTGTATGGGCTAAAACAGTCTCCAAGAGCATGATTTGACAGGTCTAGGAATGCCATCTTAAAGATTGGTTTTTCTTAATCTCAGGCTAACCATACCTTATTTATTAGAAGAGTTGATAGTAGAGTAACAATGTTGATAGTATATGTTGATGGCATTGTTGTGATAGGTGATGATATCACAGGTATCTCTCAGTTAAAGTCATTCCTTGCTTCTGAATTTGAGATTAAGGACCTTGGTGATATCCGATACTTTCTTGGTATTGAAACTACAAGATCCAAGAAGGGGATTTTTCTGTCACGAAGAAAATATGTACTTGATTTGCTTCATGAGGTTGGAAAATTAGGGTGTAATCCTGTAGAAACTCCAATTGGTCCCAACCACAAGTTAAACTCTACTGAAGGAGAAGTTCTTCCAGACAGGGGGGTATATCAGAGATTGGTGGGACGCCTTTTGTATCTTTGTTTGACTARACCTGACATTTCCTATGTTGTTGGAGTGGTTAGCCAATATATGCATGAACCTGGGACATCTCATATGCAGGCAGTTAACAGAATTTTAGCCTACCTGAAAGGATGCCCTGTCAAAGAGATGTTGAATTCTAACCACAACCATCTAAAGATTAAGGCTTACATAGATGTTGATTAGGCATGGTCCATTGATGATAGAAGATCTACATCCGGTTATTGTGCCTCAGTTGGAGGCAATGTGTTTTCCTAGAGAAGTAAGAAACAATATGCGGTTGCTCGTTCTAGTGTTGACGCAGAGTACAAGGCAATGGATCATGGAGTGTCTAAACTACTCTGGTTGAAGACCTTATTGACTAAGATGGGCATCCAAGCAGATGTTCCAATGAGACTATATTATGACAATCAAGTAGCCATAAATATTGCTCACAATCTTGTCCAACATGATCGTACAAAGCATATTGAGGTTGGTAGACACTTTATTAGAGAAAAAATTGCTAGCAGAGAGATTTGCCTTCCTTTTGTAAGGTCAGAAGACTAACTAGCTGATTGCCTCACTAAAGGTGTTCACCATCCAAAGTTTGCTAAGAACCTTGCCAAGCTGGGCATGATTAGCATATATGCTCAGTTTGAGGGGGAGTGTTGAGAATGGTTAAACAGGGGTGTTTTTGGTCTTTTTCTCCTTTCTTATATTCTCTCAATATTTGGGCACCTAGATAGAGGCCTTCTTGTAATTATTATTTTTCAAATTATAAACTAAACTTTGAACAGTGAACAACACACACCTCTCGACACATTGCTCTCTTCTTCTCTTCTCTTCTCTTCTCTTCTCTTCTCCAACACCATTTACCCAAAAGAGCCTTATTAACCAATCTAATGTTTCTGATACCAAGGCCTCCAAATTTTCTAGGCTGGCACACAGATTTCCAGTTCACCAAATTGAATTTAAAATTATTCCTCCATCCAGCCCATAAAAAGGCCCTCATTTTCTTCTCTATATCCTTGCAACACTTATAGGACTTTGGAATAAAGACAGATAATAAATAGGGAGTGAAGACAGGACACTCCGGATCAAGGTGAGCTTACCTCCTTTTGACAGGTATTTAGATTTCCACAGGGGCAATTTCTTCTCAAATCTTTCAATAACAGGATCCCAGGTCCTCTTAGAACTGCACCTAGCACCCAGAGGTAGGCCAAGATAAGTGGAGGGCAGCTTCCCTAACTTGCAGCCTAGAATGTTAACCAAAATGGGATCGAGGAATCCTTCTTCAGTTTTCATTAACTCACACTTGGAGAGGTTGATCTTGAGGCCTGAGACAGCTTCAAAGCATCTTAGAACAAAGCCTAGAGAAATCAAGTGATCAGCAAACTGGAGCAAGAGGATTTGATCTCTTCCCACCCCAACTTTAAACCCTTGAATAAGGCCTCCAGTTGATGCCCACAAGTGAGCTTACTTAGAGCTTCCATAATTATATTGAAGAGGAAAGGGGACAGAGGATCCACTTGCCTTAAACCTCTTGAGCCTTTGAAATTTCCACAAGATTTGTAATAGTCACTCAGTTAACAATTTATATGGCTCATAACAGAGAAAAGCATGACTCGTATAGCTGAACCCAAATAGTTGAGAAATGGATTATATGCTTAGTTGATTTGAATGTAGTATGTATTTGTGCTGATGTGTTCCTTCCTTCTTTTTCCCTTTGAACAGAAATTAAGTATCAAACCTTCAAGAACTTAGACAACATTTAAATTCACCCAAAATATATCAGAGAAAATCATAAACACTACATTTATAAGGTCTAAGATTAGCTAAAGCACTAAACTACAGAAATCTTGTAGTCAAGGGGGACACAAAAGTGGTAGCGAGATGGCATAAGGATGAGGAGCAGATCCCATGGAAATTTAGGAACATCATAAAGGAGATTAACAAGCTGAAAAATTGTCAATGTAACACCGGTTCAAACTTCAAAGGAATTAAAGGAAAACCATGAATTGAACCACGGAGTCAATGGAAGTGCCATTTATTTCATCTCATTCACAGAGCTAGTACTTCAACTAATAGATACCAAAAATCAGTAATCACCATCTGAATGCATACAATGCATTCTGGTAGTCAAAGCATTTGAATGCCACCACAAAAAATAACAAGGATCCTAAACAGCTTTACTACAAAGTAGAAAAATTTTTTCATGATAATACTTCCCACCATTTTGATTCAACAAATTCAAACATGCGCCATGTCAACTCCTGGTCCAGATTATACTATTTAAGCAAGCAGAAGGCAAACACCGCCTGGCTCATCAGTCAGGCAAACATAACCAACAAAAAGAAACCACATTGTTCAAACGCAGAAGTGAGAGAACTCAACCCCAAAGCAACAAACCTGGATTACATCCACTGTCATCATAATTGTTCTCATCCAGAAAGCTTATTGATCAACAATGGGATTGTTTGCCTTCACTTAGTCATAATGAATTCTCCAAAAGTATGTTGTATCAACCTTAGCAACCATTACTACTCCTCTCATTGAACTAGAGCTAGTCACTAATTTCTCAACTAAAAAAGAAAAAGTCAACCACTCAGACCAAAGCCACTAATCCAACCCAGAGTAAAAACAGACAGATAAGACGACACACACAGCCCAGAGTAAAAACCTGCGATTGGAAAGTCGACAAGCCTCGTCCAGCCTCTTCTCCACCCAACAGAAACAAAACGAAAATCTTCTCTAACATGCGGAGACACACACACAGAGGAGCTCGCTACTTCGCCTAAATCATTACCAAAAAGATAGAAAAAGAAAAAGAAAAAGAAAAAAAAAGCGATTTTCTTACGCCCAGTGCAATTCGGAAAAGGAGGCGAATTTCTCCCTTTTCTCTGCTAAATCGATTTGAACCAGTAGAGTTCAAATTTCAAACCCTCGCTCCTGTTCAGCTCTCCCAAATCGTTCTTCTTGTTCAGTTCCTCACGGTTCTTTCAGGCTTTCAGCCCCCTTCCGTTCTGTACCCGTTAAGCTTTTTCTAGTGTAAATTTAAGTTTTTTTCAAGTCCGCGGAAAAAAGCGTTGAATGGGAGACGTGGCCTGTTTCTATTGGTCAACCATAGCGTAGTCTAGGTCTGTGGTCGTAGCAAAGGTGAAGCTCCCCACGTCCCCAACGATTTAAACTGCCATGGCAGCAGTAGGCGCGGAGGAGAACAAGACACAGAGGGAGATTGGGAGAAGGAATGGCTCAAGCTCTGGCCATGGCGAAACCTCTCGCACCTTCATCATCGGTGCTTCGTAAAGGAGGGGACCCATCTTCTCCTTCACCCTCCAACACTCTGAGCATCCAATGCGCTCGTGTTGGGGGCGTTGAAATCCCAGACAACAAGCGGATCGAGTACTCTCTGCAGCATATCTACGGCATCGGCCGAACTCGAGCTCGCCAGATACTCTGGGAGGTTGGCCTGGAGAACAAGGTCACCAAGGACTTGACCGAAGAGGAACTCACCACCCTTCGTGAAGAACTCTCCAACGAAGTAACCGTGAAGGGTAGGAAAGAGAAGAAATACATGATCGAAGGTGAACTGGTAATCCTCTCTCCCTCTTTCTTTCTCTGTTTCGTCTCGTGGGTTTCGATTCTTTCTGCTGTTTAGTGAAGGATTCTGCTATTTGAGTCTCAGAGAGCTTTCAACGCGCTCAATATTAGGAGATTGATTGAGATTCAGTGCTACAGAGGAACCCGGCATCAGAAAGGGTTGCCTTGCAGAGGGCAGCACACGAGGAACAACTGTCGGACGTTGAAGGGTAAGAGGGTTCCTGTTGCGGGAAAGAAGAAGGCCACTCGTTAACAATTCGACAACTGTTTTCATGAATCCCTTTATTCGAATGAGATTGTTKGGAGATTGGATCACTTGGTACGGTTATAGTCTCTACGAATAGTGTTTTCAGAGGGTTTTGTAATTGTGACAAGTGATATTCCCTTTCGATCTTCATATCCGGGTTCAGTAACCTTTTCTTCTGGGTCACTTCTATCTGGGTTCTGTTAACTTTTTTTTTCCTTCTGGATCACTCCATGGTGTATGTGTCTGTTTCTATAACTAGTGAATGTGAACTATGAACTTCTTAGTAATTTTCCATTGTGTGTATGTGTTTGTTTCTACAACTATAGTGAATGTGAATTTTGAAGTTGAGATCTGAGTAGTCGGTAGTGCTTGAAGCATGTTGTTCTTGTTGCTGTTTTTTATTAGGTATAAACCGAAAATAGTTTATACAGCATAGTACATATCTATGTTTGAAGTTTGTCAGAGAGTGGTCTAAGTCTCTTTAATTAACCATTTCTATACTTTAGTCTGCTCATCAACATATTCTCTCTCTTTTGAAACCACAATGGTGAATTATCCTGTTATTACATCTGAACCTACTTGTCATTGCTGCATATTCCTGTTTTTCTTCCTTCTGTGGCTTCATGCCTCCTGGTGCTCTCAACCCACTTCTTGCTATGAGATGGCATTCTTTAGGCAGTAGCTGAGAGATGATCAATTTCTTCATTCTCATCCATTGTGTTGTCAAGCCTCTCACTTAGTTCTAAGCATTGTATTTGGTTTAGAGGTCCAATGTCCAATCAACCCTCATTTTGAAAACTCCCATTCTTATTTTAGTGAGGTACCTTTCTTCTCATGTCATTGTCTTCTTGATAGATGTTTTCTGTTTACCCAACTATCAACTATCTTCTTATCTTTGTTTGCACCACTGCTATGGATGAACGAATATATGCAATGAATGGTGTGAAATACTACTCTTTTCTTTCAATATGGGCATATGGGACATTTTTCCCTTTTCAGCCATAGTTGTCAAGGCGATACCTAGGCAAGCGCCTAGGCAACAAGGCGCCCTTGGAGGCTTGCCTCACCTAATCGCCAAGCAGTTTTCTATAGCGTGTTATAAAAAACTTTTATATTCTTAATTTTTTTAGATTATAATTATAAAATAGACACTTTTAAACTAAAATAYTCATTTTGTGTGTTCATATACTAATTTATTTTTATTATTTTCTTATTTTTTAGGGCTTAATCAACACAAACATTGCTAAATGTTGTATTGAACCCTCAAAGACTTCAAAACCTGAACCAATATGTAAAGAAGAACATAAAATGTTGTCCAATCAACACATTTTCTTCTTTTTCTTTACTAATTTTGCGTGTTTATATAGTAACTTCTTCTTCTAACAATTTCCTGTTTGTCGTAAGTTAGAAATAATGTTAAAATTTTGGTTATTTACCCATCTTTATGCTTCTATATCTTTGCATTTTGATATTGTGATATGCTTTTGTTAAGTTCTTTGCATATGTTTTGTCCTTTCAATGGATGTATGTTGATGTTGAACCAATGTCGTAAAGAAACTAGTATGGTACTCATTTTTGGTTTATTTTATTAACTAATATATAATGTTCTGATTATTTTTAGTTAATTGATTGATGGTTTAATATCCAAATCCAGTCCCAACCTGTTATAAGCCCAATGAATAAGATTCCATTCATATCTAATATTAACAAATCAAATTTGGATCTAAGTATATCCTATTTCATCTCATCTACTAGAGTGCTTAGGGTGCAATTTGAGCATAGTCAATGATATTATCCTCTAATCAAGGATCAAAGTATCGGTATCAAGTATTGCATCAAACAACTTAGATACAGATATAGTAGTGTTTTCAAAGTGCAAAAGGGCGCAACACGAGGTGCACGCCTTTCTAAAACAAAGCATACATTTTTTTGAAAAATTAGAAAATTGAAGAATGTAATTGAAAAATATATAATTAAACTTCAAATTAAATTAAACAATTAACAAAAAGCCTATAAATGAAATAACAACAAAAATGTGAAATAAGAACATTTAAGTTCTCAAGAGGAAGAGTCATAGACAATTTTCTACAAAAAAAAGGTCTAAGGTTTCAACCATTCTTCAAGAATCAATTAGCATCTTCTTCATCTTTATTTGGAAGTTCAACTTCATCTTCATTGTCATCTAACTTGTAGTCATCAAAATCCTCTTCCATTTCTTCATCAACATTAACTTCTTCCTCTTCTTCATCTTCCAATTGAAGTTGTCTTGGTCTTTTGCCACTAGCTTTTGTTGTTCTTTGAAGTTGAAGCTCTAGATCTTACCTACCTTCTTGGATCTTCAATTCCAGAAGCATAAGCAACATCTCCCCATGTTAATGTATCATCATTAAACACCAAATCATTTTCTACACCATCCTCGTCACGCCATATCTCCCCCATTAATCATTCACTATTCTCATCTATATCTTTTAATGAAATGGGGCATTGGTGTTACATGAGTCAAAACTTTCTTTAAGCATCTAGTTGAACTTAACAAATACCAAGCACTCACATCTGGATGCACTACATGTTAAACTTAAAACTTTCACTGCAATTTTTTGTAGATTTGGGGTAAAAGCATCAAATGTGGTCTACCAATTAGTAAAAAGTATAAAAAATAATTGAATTAGTGATTAGGCAAAATAAATATATTAAGAATATAAAATATTATATTAAATCAATGTTATTATTTACCTGGTGCTTTAATCTTCCTTTGGGAGATAGTCATATCAAAACCAAAAATGTCTTATGCATTCTTGTACTTGGATAATTCATCAGTAATTACACTTCTCTTGATCTTGTCATTTTCAAATATTTCAATTATTTTCCCAATCATAGCCTCTTCATCAGACTCATTTCTCTTTTGATCATCATAATAAAAGTGTGGGTTCAAAAAGTAATATGTTGCATGCAATGGTTGGTGAAGTTGGCATTCCCACCTCTTATCAATAATTTCAAAAATGTCTTCATATTTTTCCTTCTTTCCACCAAATGTTTTGTTAATGGCCTCCTTTGCCCTTTCCATAGCCTCATAAAGATAACCCATGGAAGGTTTGTTTTCACAAAAGTCCTATCCTTTCTATCCATCCACCCATCAGACATAAGAGAGCAGTTCCACTTTTCTCAAGACTCCTTATGGTGTTGAAGCAATTGTTTTGTACAATCAACCTCCTTCTCCAAGAAAGGAACTTGCAACTTACAGTAACTTCGGATTTTTAATCACAGACCAAATTGCTCTATTGCCTCTACCATTGATTCAAAACTTTCAAGTATACAGTATTCAAAAAATTACCAACTTGATAAAACCATCTAGTAATGCATATGCATACTTGCTCTCTCCCTTCTTTATTATGTACATAACAAATAGTGGTTTGCTTCATTTTTTTATTTTCTTCTCAAATTTACAATTTCTTTTGGTCTTGCAGTAGGAAAGAATTAATCCAAAGGCCTCTTTTGCCTTTCTATGGGGGTTATTTAGAATTTCTTCTTGAACGTAAAGCAGAATTTACATTTCAACAAACATTAGGAATGCGATTACCACCAAGCACTTCCACCTTGTCCCCCATCTCATCTTCATCTTCAATTATATTTTCAAAATCATCAAACTCTGGAATTCTATCCTCTTGACCTCTAACCATGTCCTCTTTCATTATCTTTTTTGCATGTACGCTAATATCTCTTCTTTCACCTCTTTTGGACATTTAGTACAAACTTTTACATTTCTTTTTCCACCAATTAAATGCTCTTTTGTTCTAAAGGTCCCTCCATTTGTCACTTTGCAAGTGATAGAATTTGTGTTCTTTAGATCTTGCAAATAACAATATTTCTAACCCATGTCTTTTCTATTGCTTTCTTGAGTATAGTCCGACTTGTTTCCCATCTCTTTACTCTAGTTGGTTGGCAACAGCCAAGAAACCTAATGTAATGTAACTCTTTAAAGTTTGAAAGGCAAGGTTTATAAGAAAATAAAAAATAAATTAGTTATCAATCTAAAATTCTAAATAAAAAATAAAAATATACAATTGGTATTGGTTGAAACTTGCAATTTGCAACTATCAATAATCAAATTTAAATAGGCTCAAACCTTAGACTTCAAAATAAAATATACTATTCTACTATTTACAAATAATTTATAAATTCTACTTGATAATAACAAAAATAAATAAATATTCTACTGTTTACAAAGAATTTGCAAATTCAAGCACCGAATGCAAATCCACAAGGAAGAATAATGGGTGAAGCCCCAACTTTTGCACCAAAAATAGATACAAAACATGTACAACCCCTGTTTTAAAGGTAGAAAATGTGAAAATATACACAAAAAATATATGCAAAAAATCAAATCAAAATMGATACAAGCCCTGTTTTAATGTAAAAAATAGTGGAAATAATGGGGTGGATCCCTTGTTTTTTTGTGTAAAAATTCGTGAGAAAAAACAATGAAGAAGAAGAAGAATGCGGTGGAGCCCCTGTTTTAACATTAAAACTAATGAGAAAAAGAGGTGGAGCCCTTCTTTTAATGAGAAAACATCAAAGGAAAAATGGGGTGGAGCCCCTGTTTTTGTGTAAATATCTGTATAGAAAGAAAAGAAGAAGAAGAATAAGAAGAAGAAAGGTAAAAGCACACACATTTGTTGGAGAAAAGCCCCTGTTTTTGGTCTAAAAAACTATGGAAAAAAAAGGAATGAAGAAGAAGAATGGGGTGGAGCCCTTGTTTTAACGTTGAAAATAATGAGAGAAAGGGGTGGAGCCCTCGTTTTAAGGAGAAAAAACCAAAGGAAAAGATGGGGTGGAGCCCCTATTTTTGTGTAAAAATTTGTGTAGAAAGAAGAAGAAGAAGAAGCCCCTATTTTAGTGTCAAAATAGTGGATAAATGCAACCATTCTCAACCGTAGAAAGAAAGAAAGAAAGAAAGAAAGAAGAAGAAGATATGCTTACCTCTATTCAGTTCAGTCTTGAATGAACAAGAATTTAGAATTCGAGGAAACCATGAACTCCTCTTCATTCTCAATCTTTTTTTTTTTTTTGTAAGGACTCCTCTATCAATTCAGTTTCCTTTTTTCTTACATTTTCTTATTTAAGTTAATTTTGATATTTTATTCATTTATTTAATATATGGTATAGTATAATAGTATTAGTATATAACATAATATATCATAATTATGGTCCATTAAACAAATAAAATAGATTTTTTCGAAGACCTTTAAAAACATCATTAAGGCGGTCGCCTAGACCGCTTGCCACCTCGCCTAAGGTGCACACCTTTCTAATGCCCATG